AGTTAAGGTCAATAACAATATGAATGATGCTGTTATAAAATTAATATCGTTATGATGGCCTCATGACAATCATGTTTATGACGGATTTATGACAAGTTATTTTGTTTCAAAGACATCTCAAACCATGTCATCTTTGCATTTAAAATGAAATAAGCGGATGGAACTGAATGGCATTTATTGTCATAAGCATGTATAAAATCTCATTCATATTCATAACAGGTCATGCCATGATAAAGGTTTCATGTACACCCCCTTCATGTGTTATTTTTTTTAAATTAAACACATATAATTGATTCTATTTTTAATTATTCTTTACAGCAGTATCATTGTTTATATGTTATAAATGTATTTGTTTATCATTTATGAACTGCATTGGTGAGTTTTAGGAATTTTTTATGAAAACTAATAATGCACCTAATTCATAAAACAACAAAGCTTTAATAATAAAACTTCCTAAAATGTAATAAAAATAAAAGTGTTATGAATTAGATTATGCAAATATGATACTAACTGACTAAGAAGCTGAATTTTGCAGCGATTTGTCTCTGTTGACATAATTTTTCAAGTGTGTTCTGAGCTGCAGGTCTGGCGTGTTGTGCAGAGCAGAAGGAGATCCGTCTCTCTGTCGTTTTTTACTCCCCCGAGTTGAGTGTGAGGCTCTTTATTAATGAACGTTTCTCACCCCACAGGGTCAAACCCATTGGCCTGCTGATGGATCTCATCTGGAGGAGAGTGTGCTGGATCTCCTGCCTCATGTGTGCTGCACCATCAGTCTTACGCTGGAGAAATGATGGAGCAGTGACCACGAGGAGAGAGAGAGAGAGAGATCAGCAACACTTCAAAGCATGCACAGAAACTCACGCCATCTGTTAAAGTCACCAGAAAGGTATGAGAAGTGCATTATGAACATTTTAATTGATTGAAAAATAGAGAAATATCCAAAACTAATTCTGAGAGCACCGTTAAGTCATTTAAACTGATTTGTTTTTTTATCTGTAACATCAGGTTGTCGCAACAAGTTTTGGATTTGGAACTTGTTTACATGTTTTTAAAACGTATTCTCCTTTACATTCTTTACTTCTACTCGATTTAAAAAAAACTTGTTTTCAGAAATGTACCTTATTCAGCAGATGTTTCTCAAAATAGGTATAAAAACACACCATTACTTCCTCAGCTTGCTATTATGACGTAACAGCTAATAATCACAGCTTCCTCTCTGTTGTATCCCATTTTCTGGGTTTACACATTATGATTTGTCATTTCATAAAGTTGCTGCCCAATTCATTTTTATTTTATTTCTATTCTCTTTCAGAAACAGTTCACTCATGTTTTTAATGCATCAGTTGAACGTTTTGTTTCTAAGTTTAACAAAAATGCTCACAAAATAATACATGTTTGTCTTTAAATTATTAGAGCAGGGGCTTTTTACTGATTTTGATTTTCATGAAAATATTACAAAACACTGTTACAGTAGAATTATAGGTGATGCGGTGGCGCAGTAGGTAATGCTGTTACCTTACAGCAAGAAGCTCGCTGGTTCGAGCCTCGGCTGGATCAGTTGGCGTTTCTGTGTGGAGTTTGCATGCTCTTTCCACGTTCGCGTGGGTTTCCACCGGGTGCTCCGGTTTCCCCCACAGTCCATAGACATGTGGTACAGGTGAATTGTAAGCTAAGTTGGCCGTAGTGTATGAGTGTGAATGAGTGTGTATGCGTGTTTCCCAGAGATGGGTTGCAGCTGGAAGGTTTCCGCTGCTTGAAACATATGCTGGATAAGTTGGTGGTTCATTCCGATGTGACGACCCCAGATTAATAAAGGAACTAAACCGAAAAGAAAATAATTGAATGAATAGTACTAGGCATTATCATATGTCTTTTGTAAATGCTAAAATATCTACAGCACTTACAAACCTGTATGCAAAACATCAAAATAAAATATAAAAAAGGAGAAGTTTAGTTTTTAACATTCAAAGGTTTGGGGTAAGTTAATATTAGTATTAATATTTGTCATATTGTGTACAGTATGTCTGTATGAATGTTTGTTATTTGTTTGTTTGTATTTTTAAAACAAATTCAGCATGGATTAATTCCATATTTCAAATTCAAATAAGCTGTTCTTATTTATTTAATTTTTTTTCGGGTTTTTCATCTTTAAGGACAGTTCAGAGAATTTGACAGGATATAGTGGGGAGCAGAGAGAAAAGAAGGATCGGTATAGGATCTCACGCTGGGAATTGAACTTTAATCACCGTGAGCACCGGTGTGCTATATGTCGATGCACTAACCACTACACCATTGGTGTCGTTCTTCTTGACTTTGCTTTATTAGAAAATGTATATTAGGGTTAAACGGCACTTGAACAAATGTGGAAAATAATTAAAAGCCTTTATTGACATGGCTATTCCCAATTATAATTCCAATAAGTGTTGTTCTTGTTGACTTGCTTTATTACAAAGTATATATTAAACAACCTTAGGTCTGTGTGGGTACTAATGCCCCAGTAAATTGATGGGGACTTTATAATTGCTGTTAAAATCCCAGGATGTTCCTCTAAAAAGACTGGCATCTTGGCCTCCTAACCATCCCCATATTATAATTGGCTTCATCTTCTCTCCACCAATCAGCTGGTGTGTGGTATGGTGCAATATGGCTACCGTCACTTCATCCAGGTGGATGCTGCACACTAGTAGTGGATGAAGAGATTCCTTCAAACGTGTGAAATGCTTTGTGTCCAGAAAAAGAGCTATTTAAATGTGAGGAATTATTATTATTATATAAAAATTGATGTGATTTTTTAAAATAATGATTTAACATTGTTGTTTGCAAGTTTATTTATTTATTTTGTTTAAATAGCCTTGATGAACATTAGAGATTTAATAGATAAAATATTTTAATAATGTATAAAAAACACATTTTTTTACAACATTATTGTACCATATTCATAAATCAACAAAAGACTGCATTTAAGTCCTCTAATATGTTTTTAATTTACTAAATTGATCAGATATTAAACCAATGTGTTCTACAGATGGCAGGAGCTAAGAGTGTGCAAAACATAAACACAACTCTCATTTGAATGAACTTTTATTACCATAAAATAAAAAACAGGCTCCTCTGTATGTGGCACTGCAGACTGGCCACAGCTAGAGAGCGTTAAACAGCTTTGCTGCAAAGCACACAGACATAGTGTTAGTATGTCGGCCGTAACATCTCTGTTACAGTCATAAGAGGATAATACTGTACAGTTCTGTCCTTCAGGTTCACAATAACAGATCCCAAGACAAAATAAGTAAACACATGGCTTCAATAAGGCCAGACATTAAGGTGTTGTTTTTCCTTGTTGTATCTCTCTGTTTTGAGATTCTGTTTTTATTTTTTTTGCTCTTTTGGCTCAGCATAATTGAGCACACCCCATTTTGAAAGTGAATATTTGTATCCATTTCTCAGTGAACATAGGCAATTTTGGTGCATTTAAACAAAACAGATTTACTAAACAAATATTTATCATAATAATATTTTAATCATCAAACATATTTATAAATTTAAAGATAATACAATAACATTCAAGCAAAATATTGCACAAAAAATTTAAAAATAAAAATACAACCTACAAAATGTCAACTGAATTTTTTGCTTCTCTTGTTTTTTCCTTTTTTTTTTAAATTTGTATTTAATGTTTTTCTATAACATAAATGTGGGTGTACTCGTTTTTGAACTGTTTTCATAAGTTATTTTGTTAGATAAGCTCCAGATTACGCTTCAGTACGGGTAATCTAATGTATATGCACAAATAAAATCATGTATAGTGTCCAATTAATAATATGAATTTAAAAGATAGATTTCTGAGGGGTGTACTTATATATGCTGAGCACTGTTTATTTTTTGAATAGCCCACTTTATATTAGATGGCCTTAACTAATATGTACTTACACTGCAATTAATCATTTGTTACAGTGTACTTATTGTGTAAATACACGTTTTTAAATTGTACTTATGATCGATTGAATACCTGCATGTAACTAATTTCTGTAATCACATATTTAATTACACCGTTGACTATCCCACACCTTAACCAACCCTTAAACCTACCCATACCACCTAACCCATCCCTAACCCTACCTGTATCCCACCCCAAGAGCACCAGTAGTACATTATGAGCACAGTATGTACATTTTTTGATGCATTTACATAGTAGTTATGGCCACCTAATTATAAGTGGAACCACTTTTTCAAACTAATGTAAAGAAAAGGTCCAAAATACACTTCTAATTCATCAAAAAAAATTCCATTTTCATCTAATTTGTTTTAGATTCAAGTGTAAACTTTTGCTTGGAACAAATTCAAACACATACTTTTAAAGACTGTATTCAAAAACAAAACTGGACTTTTAGATTAAACTTTAGTCAAATTTTTATCTGTATTCTGAATGTTTTACCAAAGTATATGTTCAAACATTATCAGCCTTATAAATACACAATTTTATTCTACTAAAATTGTGAATTTTTTTTTTTTTCTGGCTGATCGCTGTATTTTCTGAATAGTGAATTATTATTTCTTCTGTATGATTTCCCACATTAATATGTCCAAAAAAAAAACAAAAAAAAACACACACAGAAACTTTGAACCTGACTTACACCAGTGTTCAGATTTATGCTCTGTAAGTATTTGCAAATGATTGCAAACTTGAATCGAAATAATGCCTTATTTGCATTTAATCACATATCATTTGCTTTAAATTTAAATAAAATAGAAAATGCAGAACAAAAAAAGTAAAAAAAAAAAAAAGTAGCTTTTAATATAATCAATAGACTGATGAAAAATTGTGATACAGTAACTATTTGTTTAACCATGTTCACCTGTAGCGTCTTGCCTATTTTGAAAGGACCAAAAAGTTCAAATAAAATTTTGCACAGCCACTTAGTTATGAGCATAACTGGCTGTATTAATATTATAATTATTAGTCTTCAACGGTTGAAGTCCTGGCTCTGTGAATAATTACAAGTTCACATAGCCCAGGAGATGTTGGCTGTGTGTTCTTTGGCCTTCATCCGCAGTACAGCAATGCTGGAGGAGCGGCGCTCGAACTCCGGTTTGGTCTCAAACGCGGCGTGACTGTTCGCTGACGAAGCCAGAAGAGAATCAGCAAAGAAGTTGTTGAGGGAAACATGATTGACTCCGAACTGATTTTGCTGGTGGTTTGGGAATCCCACATAGCCATGCTCCGCGGCTCTGGGTGAATGTGGGTACGGGGATGTGACGCAGGGTGGGGACCCTCGGGGGATCATGCAGGACGACACCACTGAGCTGCCCGCGCTCGGCCCTGTCCATAGGTTATTGGAGATCTGTGTGACAGAGAAAACACTTCAATCAGCATCTTTTATAATCACTAGGACACTAGGTCAGCTTTTTAACCCTTGTTAACCCTACTTTTGAGTTCATACATGAAATTTGCACACAATTCATTCATGTTGTCCACACAAATGAAGTTCACCCAATTTAAATTTAAGTAGATTAAACATTAAACAATAAAGTTGTCCACCCCCAAAAAACTCAACAACTGTTGATTCAGCTCATTTTATTAAAGTAATTTGAAAAGGCAGTAAAAAATAATTTGAGTGTACATATTATATATAGTTTGTCAAGATAAGTTTGTTTAAACAAGCTTAAAATGTCTACAGCATGGCGACCATTAGGAGGTTAAACTTCTTTTTCTTATTATAAACTAAAATGTATAGTTCATCCAATAAATCTGTCATCATTTACTTACTAATGACTGGTTAAAAAGCTGTTTGATTTTATTTTTCTATTGAACACAAAAGAAGATATTTTGAAATATGTTGAAAACATGTAACCATTGATTTCCATAGTATTAGTTTGTAACAACAAAAACACAAACTGGTTTGGAACAAGTCAAAGGTGAGTAAATGATGACAGAATTTTGATTTTTGGATGAACTGTCCCTTTAAGTTTTGCAAAACAGTTAACTGCACAATTGAAATGGCCTAAAATATGTCTTATGTGTCTCAAATCAACTTATTTTCTCAATTTAATTCTCCAACAGTTAGAGGGTTTTTTAAACATTTTGTCGCATAAAACAGTTACCCTAAACACATGTTTTAGTTGCTAGAACGCATTAGTCAATATTTGACTAAAGAAGCTCTTCACATCATTTTTCTTTTCAAATTTCAGCTTGGCGTATCAGATCATTTCATATTCGGATGGCCTATAATACTTCATAAATGACTCAAATCTACTCATTTTTCCATTACACTTAAAACAGTGCCCTAAAAAATTGTTTCTAGAACCCATTTCTTAGTATTTAACTTTCAAAAACTCTCCATGTGGCTTTTCTCTCCAGCTGTCAGCGTGGCACAGTTGTACATTTCCCATCCAAAAATGCATTAAAAAAATATCACTGAGGTTTCATCTAAAAATATACAGAAAATGTCAGTGTTTAAACATGACGTTTCACCCAACAAACATATTTTGTCACTTATAAAATAACTTTTTAAAAGTTGAGTTTTTCAGGCCATTTTTGAAAACTATTTCTAAATTTCAGCTTGGCATAATTGTAAACTTCACATTAAAAATGCCATAAAATATGTCATACTGTCCATATTTCAAATCAGCTATTTCTTTCATAACACCAAGTCTTCATTCAACATTCACATTTTGTCTTATAAAACTGTGACCTAAAAACACTTACTAAAACCCATTTCTTAATTTTTCTCTTTTTCAAAACTCGTCTTTCCAACTTTAGCTTAGCATAACAGTAAATTTCACATGCAAAATATTCTAAAACTAACAGAATATGTCATACATGTTTCCAAACAACTTATTTCTGCCATAACACTACAGTAAGCTTTCATTCCACAAATGCATTTTGTCACTCACAATCATAAAACATGTTATTAGTAACATTATACAGTACATGTTTTTTTCTAAAACATATTGACAGAAGAATTACAGTATGATGATACTTGGGGAAACTGGAGCACCCGGAGGAAACCCATGCAAATACGGGGAGAACATAGAAACTCCATACAGAAATGCCAACTGACCCAGCCGGGGCTTTAACCAGTGACCTTCTTGCTGTGAGGCAACAGTGCTAACCACTGAGCCACGGTGTCGCCCTACAGCATTACAATTTTTTTTTTACCATATTCAGTTGAATTTACCTTGTTTAATTGAATTTCTGAGCAAACAGAAAATGATTACACGCATATGATTTACAAAAGACAGCTACTGAAATCATCGTCTTGGAATCATAAGGGTCTATCTGTGTTCTAAATGATTTTGGGATATTGAGCTTCAAAGTTTTGCCTTCCATACATCAGTGTGTGTTACAGTTCTCTCGCATACATCAACAAGACAAAGACCCTAAATGTGCTCTAAATGTACATTTTCTCAAATTTGCAAATTGGGGTTTAAAAAATTCAGGCCAAAAGCAGATAGAGCTTTCTAATTATAAAAAAAAGTCATTTTCTACTCGGAATTTTAAGGGTCTATCTGGCAGATCATTATTGAAGCGACTTCAAGAAATACAATCAGTCTGCTTATTAATTTAATTAAAAATATAAATTGGTGTTTTAACAGTATGTTGATGCTTGAGAAAAATACATTTTTTGCTTTCTATAACATTTATTTAATGTTTTAGGATAAATATTTTTTCTTGTTCAGATTAAGCTTAATTTGTATGCCTAATTAATATGGTAATATTTACTGAATGATATGCTTTATATGAATTGTTGAATTTTATTTATTGAATTATATGCATTATGATTGAAAATTGCCCTCCAAGGCTTAATATCAAATTTAAAGACTTAAAAAGAAAACAGACAATGAACAAATGAGTTTAACACTGAAAAATATTTCATAGACTATATATACACAAATAAAAATATTTCACATTTAATTTTTTTTTAATTCTTTCATCTTAATGTCAAAAAATGCTTCTAAGTAATCACATTTCAACATATATTTTCAGTTTCAGGTTTCTTCTCGAATTTCTGATTTTGTGTTTCTTTCTGGTCTTTCCCGCTGTCACGGAAGCAGTCCGGTGAAATGACAAAGAAAGCTGATCCTGATTGGTCCTCGTGCGTGCATTTTAAATGAAGATTGGCTCACAGAAAGAACCTTATAAAGCCAAGCTAAAGTTCGACATTTTAGAAAAACCTTTTTTGATCTTTTTAATTAAAAAGTCTTAAAATGTAAACAACTGATAGAAAAACATCACATCATGTAAGTTGTCATTTAATAACAATATGTCAATAACTCAATTTTTGACAAAAATGTCAGATAGAGACTTATAAATCTAAGGTGACGAAATGTCATTCACTGTAACTATAGTTGGTAACAGATGAACAAACAATATACAATACATTTATTACAGTATCAATGTTCACGTTAGTTAAGGAAAATAAAGTTGTTGAATGTCGGTCCTTGATAAGCACAATGTTGACAATAACAATATTCAAAGTACTGTGCATTTTTACTTTGTGTTATTAAATACATTAATTAGTGCAATCGTTTTGTAAAGTCTCCAAAATTTGCAGCTCCAAAATTTTGCCACTATTTTTTGTTGTTGTTTACATGACATACTTTCTAATTGTTTTTCTTTTAGTTCCATATGTTACTTAAATTGCGTTTTAACATACAATTTTCATTATAGCAGGGTTATAGAGTTCAGTCTTGGTGAGAAATATACTAATGTAAATTTGTAATAAGGATTCACTTAATGTATTTTGTGCCTAAGCAATGATAAATGGTCCACAGTTTTGCTCAGCTAGACTTGGTGTTGTGCTCACTGTGGGAAGGGTTTCCACCTAAAAGTTGACCCTACGTTTAGAGAAATTATTTCTTGAAATTATCATTAAAATTGCAAATTAGAGAGGGAAAAAATTGTTTGTGTGGTTGAAATGAATGTAAAAAAAACAACAGGCTTGAGCAGGAGGCCATGAAGCAAAAAAAGTATAATCAAAAAAACGTTTGGAAATTCATAAACAGAAAATGCACTCTGGAAAGTTAATTAAATTTTAAAAAATGTAAATCTAGGCATTTTAGTTTTGCCTGGGAAAATGTTTTCTGATAAACCAATGACATCATATCAGATACACCCTCAATCTACATTAAAATGCAGTGACAATTACGGCCGAGACTTTAAATAAATCCAGAGCAGGCTTTTAAAAACAAACCCTGCAGGCCACAAAAATGCATTTGTGTTGACCACAGAAATGTGCCTGCACGCATGTCATGTGCACAAGACAAACATGAGCCCTGCAGTCTGGCTTAACACTGTCCTGACTCTGCTCACGACATAATAAAGACCTGTTGTAATGGCACTCCATTAAGACACAGGCTTCTTATATGACTATGGAAAACACATGAGTGAGGAATCTCCTCTCGGATCAAGGAAATTGAGTGTCATCTCAAACTTTATCTGCTATCCTCCATCAGCGTTTGTCATTCCACATTTACTGACAAAACACATCACTGCTCCAGTTAGGCTGTTGTCCACAACTGATGCATTGTGTTTGTCAGTTTCAACTAGTATGCCGTTAGTCAAATGGTTGCTGACTTAACCAACACAGACTTAAATGTTACTGTGCTCCACAAAACCTTATGTTTAATGTTGTATGGGTATATTTAGGCAATGATGGACAAAAATACAATGTATTAGTTCAAATTAATGGTTTTACTTTTATTTCAAAGCTAATTTGAATATTAAATTAAGTTCTTGCTCCATGAAAATATTTTGTATATACAAGAACTTTTAATTTATATGTATCTTTTTTAACTCTCTTGTTTCAGATTGACAAATAGTTGTATCTCTGCCAATTACTAGCATATATCCTAACCATCCATTCATAAATGAAAAGGAAAGCTAAAAATCTCACTTTCAGAAAGAAACTGACTCTGTGTTGTGCTCCAGTGTTACAAATAATAAATCTTATCAAAAATCTTAATACAAAAGATTCCAAAACCTACTTATAGTAGGACATGTAGAGGTCAAAATAACAAATAAAAACATAGACAGCAGAATACTTATGCAAAAACAGTGTTTACATTCTAGCTAGAGACCGGTTCATATGAATAGCATGAATTGGTTTATTTTTGCCAAACAAATCGATTGAATCACCTGTGAGTAGCTGTCTGTCCGTGGCAGCATTGAGATGTCATAAGTTGCTGCAAAATGACTTTTGGCCTGCTGTATTTGTCCATATCTTTCTCTCTTCCTCCACTTAGCTCTTCTGTTTTGGAACCAAACCTTTGGAAAAAATAAATAGAGAGACGGTATTTATTCCATTATGTAAAATAAATGATTTAAGATTTAAATAACATTTTGTGTAGTAATTAATTCATTATTATTTTTATGCCATGTGATAGTAATTTAACACTTTACTCATGATTTTATATAACTCATTCATTTTCCTTCAGGTTAGTCCCTTATTTATCAGGGGTCACCACAGCGGAATAAACCACCAACTATTCCTTTTACTCAGCAGATGCCCCTCCAGCCGCAACCCATAACTGGGAGTTTAATATAATAATTGATGGTAAAATTTGCCATGAAGCTTGTTAAGGAACTGTAAAAAAAGTTTTTTGTTATTACAGAATTTCGGGATCAGAGATTAACTTTTCCTAGAAGTTGCAATTGTTTACTGTTTAACTTCAACCTATCATTTAATAGATTGGATTATTTTAAACTCTAATTGAAGCGTTTTTGAAAAAAATGTGTTAAATTGTACTTTTAGGGCATATTATATTAAAAAATGATAACACTGCATTCATTTTGTTAAGAAACTTGTTGTTGGTTATAATGCTGCTCAGCATTATGCAAAAATGCCTAAAACATATGAATGTAATGCTGCGAATTAACTTTTTATTCATTTATACTTTAAATTCTATAATAGTCAAATTACAACAACATTAGCCTATTATTTTTTAATTAAAGGCTAATTAATTTGTGGTGTTAATTTAATTAAAATGTCCTTTTTATACTCTTAGAGTTTGTAGGATATTTTTGATCATTTAAATGGCAAATTTGCCATGAGAGACCCATACATTTGTATTTTGCAATAGTTTGTCATTTAGGCTAATTACATTTTATGATTTATTTTTTGTGAGGTTCTGTTGTTAAGTGATTAAATTGATGATAGCGCCCTGAACGTACAACTGAAAGTCATTGCACAACTTTCCTTTAACTTCGACATTTGAGGCAAAAATGAAAGGTTTTCGCTTTTGCGGTGCGGAATCAAAAGGTTTGAAAAGTACATTATTGAAGTTTTCTCAAAAATTACGTTATTATCGAACGAGGTATGTGGGTTAACTGGTATTGATAATGGTATTGACAGATTTCTTTTTTTTTTTACCTGAACCCGGGCCTCCGTGAGCTCTGTCCGCATGGCCAGCTGCTCTCTCACGTACACATCTGGATAATGGGTTTTCTGGAAGACTTTCTCTAGCTCCTCCAGCTGAGCGCTCGTGAAGGTTGTGCGGTGGCGTCTCTTCTTGCTGCTTGACACGTTGCTGTCGCATTTTTCTCCGAGTTCGTCGAGGTCTGTTTTGTCGGGTCCGCTTGTGGCCGGTGAGACCCTGAGGCTGCAGCAGTTTTCCATCGCGTGCAGGCTGCTCTCCTCAGATTTAGGAGCGCAGTAAGTCACGCCTGAGGAGGTCACAGAAAATGGTCAGTTTCAGCAGCGCTTAATCTAAAACTAAATATAAGCTTTAAAATGTTCAGAACTGTAGATCTAATTGTTGTCGGTTAATGTTTTTACAAAGCAGTTCAATAGTGATTTCAAAGGGGGATGCAAAAAACCTCAATAGGCCTACTCACGTTAATGCTTACAGAATTTAAAAATCTTATTAAATGCAAACAGTCACTATAGCGATATGATATTGATTTAGCCTGTATTTATCAATATAGTCAACGTGTAGGATTTAGGGAAAACCGCGTGATTATTTTAGTTTCATCCTCAACAAAAAAATAGTAATAAAAAATAATCACTTCTCTGCAATTAGCCTACGTTTGTGACTGACTTTTTTTTATATTTAAAGTTTAATCATAAGTGTTAATAATAATAATAATAATATATTACTATATTATCATCATTATTATTATTATCATTATTGATAAACGGTTTACAAAATGTAAAATATTATTGATTCTGAGAAAACTAAATTATTCTGAAGGGCAGCAGTATTTTAAAAAAATTGCTATGTTTCATGAAAACTATTTTAAAAAAGTGTTTGAACTATGCATCCTCTTTTTGAGTTTTTAAACTAAAATAAAGAAAAAGAAAATTTTTAAAAAAGTTAATACAGAATGACTCAAAAAAGACCAAAGTGTGAAGGGAATTTTTAACTTTTTAAATCCAACATGTAAGTATAGGTTAAATATGCACAATAGGCCTACACTTTTCGCAATCAAAATGCTATGTTAAAAATAAAAATGTTAATCTGATCATTAATTTCTAAACCTAGCTTAATAATATTTTAACCATATTACTATATAAATAAACCAAAATTGTATTTTATATTCTGATTCTGCTGAAATATGCTTGCTACTTTTCAATAAAAAAAAATAACAATTTGTGTTTATGATCTAGCCAGTGCACTAATTTATATAAACTTCTAAGAACTTTTAAAAATATGTAGAAAACCACGACACACTCTTTTCTAAACCAAGAATTATTAAATATTTTACAAAACATTTGATTGCATTTTGCAAAGTTTGACTTACTGCTTTGGTTATCGCACGGAGACGATCTGTCCATGGAGGAGTGCTGGTCATTGCTCTGCATCGGGAATGCTTGGACGCATTTCGGCGATGCCTTGTTGTAGTACTGCACATTATCTAAAGTATCCATGACTTGGTCCATGTAGTAATCGCTGCCTTTAATCGCTGGACTTTTCAAGGAGAACTTGTCGCTCAAATACTCCATCATGGTCCTCTGGCCTCGTCTCAAGCATGAAGCGCGTCAATGGACACCATAAATGTTTTAGTGATGTCAAAAATGAAGCAATGCAGCCAATTATTTGTACAAGTCGTTAATTTGTCTTGTCTTAAAGAGACCTAGGGCCTCTCTTTATACGGGAAAGAGATGGAGATTGAAGCAGCCACCCAACTTCTGAATATGGAGAAGGTGAAACTCCACCCACGCGCACGAGCACTAAATAAGATTTATGAAAGTCTGTGATGACCCGAAATGAAACAATTACACTTGCTTTCGCTTTCTGTGTTTTTGGATACCCCTGATGATTATTTTACTGATAAATCCCACTCAAGCGCGCTATTTAAAGTGTTAAACCACATCTAAACAATGTTAGGTACTTCAGTAAACATATTACAGTCACTGAATGTTTAAACAACATTGTAAATAAATCGACTTTAGAGCCTTTTAATTTATTTTTTAAATTAGGATTTAACATCAAACTAAAACCTGTTTAGTAACTTGAAAAATATAGCTTATTTGTCATACGCTGTCTGTTAATTCACAGTTTGACTACTTCTGCAGGTATTGCCCCAATAAAGCTCTTAATTGTGTTTTCAGTGTATTTCTGTTTGAGAATTACATTTCAGAAACTTGGTCTTCGCTCTGATAACTTTCATGACTTTTAATAAACATATTTTGTAACTTTTAATAAACATGTTTAGTGGTTTAAAATGATGTAGGCCTATGGAATACTTTCTTGAAGATTTATTTATTTTGTGGGTTTATTTATTCTATGAGTTTATATGGGTTTAGTTTACATAATTTGTTCTTTAAGATGAAATGTAACTTAAATAATATATGAATCAATTGATAGACCTATACGGCATTACCAGCCTACATATTTATTAATAATTTCTGTATTGAGGTATCTAAAGATCGTTTTGATCTAAATGACATGAATGATCTTAATGGGAAATAAAGATTAACTGACCTTTTTGTCAAAATGTTCAATTATAGACCTGTCTGTAAATTTTTTTTAGATATAAAATATTTCGTCAAAATAGCGCCCTAAAATTACTGTGAAACGACAAAATCTTCCAGCCAAAAAAAAAAAAAAAAAATGAATATAACGACGGGACAGAGAGCGCGTTCATGGGTAAAGAAATCCAGCCGAAGTCCTGATACCTGTGACACAAATAGTATACACTTTTTTTTTTAACTTTTTCCCTTATGAACAGTTAAACCCTCTGGAAGTTTAAGATAATTATCAACATTTAACACTGTGTAATATATAACAGGGTAGGATACAGTGATTATTTTTTTGTGAAAAATAGACAAAGCATGCTCCAGCAAACTTTTAATATTAAAACGGGCCCTTTTCATTGGTTTAGTAATTTATTCAGCTACTTTTATCAGCTATATTGCTCACTTGACAGGCTTGGCTTCGTCCAAAATACAGCGATAACGCCAAAAACGTCGAGTTTGCAAACTCACAGCAGAATCACCAATGAGATTCTAAAGCGCGGCTCCAAAATGATTTTGCGACCACCTGAACGTCCAGGAAGGGCGTCATTCGATACCACCCTCACTCCAAAGTGTGTGCAGGACATCCCACATAGAGAAGCCCTCTCTTCTCCCTGCCAGCAGACCTCACCACCTGCCAGGATAGCCATATCTAAGGGTCACTTTCTGGCGCGGGGGTTGATGGTGCCACTCGGAGGAAAATGAAAATAAATAGGGGTGCTCTAAAGTAGCAGGGGAGTTTCTTAATAAGGCTCTGAAATGACCTTCTATTTGGACCCCTCGCTGAGGGGAAAATGTGAGAAATTCTGTGTGGTTTGTTGAAATTTTGTCTGCGCATTAGAGGTAAAGCAGATGAAAGCGAGGAAGAACGTATAATTTACGGCCTAATTTTACTTAGTTACGCGCGTACTTGCGATACTAGAAAAAATAAAATAATTCAGCATTAAAGCATTGAGACGCCTTAAATATGTTCGTTTTCCTTTGCTAAATTAAAAAGTGGTAATGTAGTAAATAATAAACATCCTAGTTTTTTGTCCATTATTATTGTTTATTTGTTTTGATTTTTGCGCAAACTGTAGCTATATTTAATATTTAATAAAATAAAATAAATCAACCTAACAAACAAAATGTAAATTTCAAACGCAAGATAATAGCATATATAACAAGAAACAAAAATAGTTTAAATAATGATTATTGTTAAACAATTGTTAATGCATATATATATATATATATATATATATATATATATATATATATATATATATATATATATATATATATATATATAATTTCACATTTCATATAATTAATATAGTTGATTAATATAAAAAAATATTGATCAAAACTAAATATCAAAATCTTCAGCTAAAATGAAAGTCAATATAAAAAAAAATTTGTTACATGCTAAAATCACACTGGCATAAATAATCTTTTTACTTAAACTTTTTATAGTTTAATTTACCTCTAAATCACATTTTTCTCCATTTTTAAGGTACATTCACGGTGGTTTTGTAAAGGTTAACTGACATGTTTGCCAATGTTTATTGCTTCCCTCTTTCTATTATGCATCACAGACAGAATGAATCTCTAGTGAAAGTCAGAGGTCAGTAAGAGTGTGTCTGCTGGGTTTGTGTGCATATGCCTTTGCAGTCACTTAAGTAATTAAAATCAAAATAAATGCTTTGGCCACAGCCATTTCATCCAGCGCTGCTCAGGTCAGGCCCGATGCTTTGAGCTTGCTGAGAGAAATCTGCTTTAAAAAGCCTTTTCACTTCAGTGTGAAGCATTATTCAATGAGTATTTATTTTCCCTTTTATACGTTCATGGGTAGTTAAATACAGCGTAGATATTAGAAACCCAAACAAACCAATAGGTTTTACTAACCCTGTACAGATCTGCTCTTGTTGGCTGTTAGAACATTATCTTTCATGGTTTGCCTGTTTTCTGTGGGTAACAACTGGCATGAATTATCTGCTGGCGTCCAATTCAGTGAGATTCAGCAAAAGTGGAAACTTGGAAATGTACTGTCTTTTGGAGTCGTAATGAAATTTCTCTTTTTTGCATTCATAGATTAACTATCTATCTATGTATCTCCATTATCTGCCAGTGTTTGAGATCTATCGGACATTTGCCCAAACATGATGCCAGAACTCCTCCTAATAAGAAACCCCCTCTTCAAGATTTATTTCTAGGCATAAAATGATCTCTAAACCGATGCCAGGAACTTCTTTTCCATCCAATGTTTTTGAACATTCAGCTTTTTGATATCCAACTAAAATGATACAAGCTTATTGCTATCTGTCACAGATACTAAAGACAACATGTCAAGCAATACTATTGAGAAAAAAATGACAGAATTGAAAACTGTCTCCATTTTGTTCATTCAGTTACACAACAACAGTGCTTTAGGGGCTTGAAAACACAACAGGGCTCCACACTGACTTTTTACACCAGAAGCACAGTGGCCCCTTACATTTTTGGAAAAATAATCAGTAAATTTATAAGTACACAATCGGAAACACAATTTCAATTCTATTGCTTTCTAATGCTGTGTTAATTAAATGCACATTATTTTAACAGCCATCTTTAAACATTAGTAGATAATGATTACACTAGTAAAAATTAGACTAACTATGCTTTCTATGATATCTGCTACTGTATATAAAAACAGTAACCTAATGACATTTATTATAAATACATGCACAACAACTTGTCCTATATCATATAACTAGGGCCAGACCAAATCTGCAGACATTTCTTGCTATTTCTGCAGATAATTTGAAAAAAAGAAAAATCTGTGGATTTATGCGGAATGATTTAGGAGTATCATATCTAAAAACTTAATATGTAAAAGCAACAAATAATACATTTTGAACTTTTATTTAATGTTTATAATGCAGATCCAATTAGATCACTTATTTGGAAAACAAAGCAATATCAAATAAAATCTCTACTAAAGGACAGAACCTATTACTTTGCAAATTGTATTCTAAATAAATCAAATAAACATTTTAATATTATTATTATTATTATATCACAATAATATTAGTGAAATGAATTTAAAAACTGAATAAATATAAATTTACACAAGTAAAAAGACTAAACGATAGGCTAAAAATCTGTGGATTTCTAGTACAGATTCTGTGTGGGCCTATAACTCCTTTATTATATTAAATACATTATTAATAACTAATCTGACATGAAAATACTACATTTATGCCATGATAGCATGATTCCGTTAGTGTAATTGGTGAAATTATGGCAAATGTTTGTGATTTGTGGACTGAAATGCTTTCTAACTAACTGTTGCTAAGTGTTTTTGCTACTTGCTGAATCAGCGTTGTTGACAGCTCTGATTTATTTGGCTTTAAACTAGTTTATATCGTAATTGTGGTCGGAATAAAAAGTGCTTCTTGTAATGGTGGTCATGTAATGGCGACTTGTCAGTAAATGCACTTACATGATCTAAGCTGCCTTTTCTTTTAGGACAAACTAAATTGTCCGTGCAAAACTTGCAGTTCAAACAAGCAGCACCATTTTGTGCTGATTTTGGGGTTTCATATTTCTCATTGGAGCAACATGGTGGCTCAGTGGTTAGCACTGTCGCCTCACAGCAAGAAGGTCACTAGTTCGAGTCCTGGCTGGGTCAGCTGGCATGCATGAGTATGCATGTTTTCCCCATGTTCGCATAGGTTTCCGGTTGCTCCGGTTTCCCCCACAGTCCAGAAACATGAGAAATATGTGAATTTAATAAACTAAATTAGCCGTAGTGTATGCGTGTGAATGAGTATGTATGGATGTTTCTCAGTACTGGGTTGCTGGAAGGGTATCCGCTTTGTAAAACATATGCTGGATAAGTTGGCGGTTCGTTCCACTGTGGCGACCCCTAATGAATAAAGGGACTAAGCCAAAGGAAAATTAATTAATGAATATTTATCATTGCTGAAGCAAATACCAGTTCCATCAGGCAAATTGGTTGTCATAAT